TGAAGTTATTTGGTTGATAACTGAAAAGATAGATGTATTACTGAAAAGAAAAAGCATGTTTCTTAATAACATCTTTATGATTAGGCTTCTATACTAAATAAACTTATTTTTAAGGTATTAATAGAGGGTAATTGTGAAAAGAGATATTGTTAGATTTTTGACAGAATACTTACAGTAGTCAATACAACAAATTTCAAAGCAAGAAAACTCTGTCACAGTGGAGCTTATTTTCATCAGTCCACTTGACTTAGGCAAGTTTGGTTTAATTAAATAATCTTATCCCTACCCTTCCACCCCCTTATCATGTTAATAACTTTCGTGCCATGGGCTCAGTTTTTCTGTCTCCTGAAATACACACTCTCAATTCCCTATAGAATCTAAATCAGCATTTGTCTCATTTCTTTTTTTTTTTGAAACCTTTTATCCAGTATTTTCATAGATCTGCTCCCATCACAATTTTTCTTCTCTTAAAGAAAACCAGCAAAAGGTGAGTGATTGTTGTTTCAAAGAATTTTAATATGATGGGTATATGTATCTTCCCATTAATCATAAGCCACCTGTGGAGCAAGCCTCGTGTTTTTCCCTGCTTCCAACTCCACTTATTTTTGAAATCTTATATGAAAACATGTCATATCTCTCTGAGGTATTCTTAAACCCACAAAATTTATTCCATTTCAGTGATGAACCCCCACCGAGTCAGATGCTTGACCAATCAGATAAATATTGTGCAATTTCCTGATGCTCACCAATTTAAATAAGTAATTTACATACATAAATATTTTTTCTGAAGTGCATACATTGTGTGTTACAGGAATCTCACTTTGCCACTGAGGTGGACAAGATTACTGTAAGTATATTGGATTTATTGGAATCAGAATCTAAATTCTGATTCTTCAAAAGCTGTAAATATGACTTACAAGAAGGGATACTTGAGATGCAGTTTCGTGTGTTTCAAATAAATTTTTCCACATAGTAGTATCCCCAGCTAATTTTTTGGCTCAATGTTTAAGTGGTGTTTTGAATAACCCTGAACACTGGGAAAGGAGTGCTGGATTATATGAGCAAAGGCTCAGTACTGTTTGAACCCAGCTGTGCAGCATCTGCTGTTGAGCTTGTTAGCGTATGGATGTTTAGAAGCACAGACAGGTCAGATGGGCAGTTATCTACAACCTGTATAGGCATATCTTAAAGGAATCTTTTTTTCTTTACTGCTGTGAGTTAAATAAGAAACAGTACTACAATTATAAGTTTCAATGAGTGTCTGGCATTATCATTGATCATTGAAAATGTAAAGACAGAAAGTGTTTCTGGAAGTATATGTAATATATGTGCGCTCTACAATAAAAGCATTTGTTCCTTCAGAGAAGCAGTTTTTCAAGCTTTTATTGTCAGTTCATTTTTATCATGCTTCTCCAGTTCATAGATCTTTTTTAGAGGATTTAGTACTTCTCCTAAACTTCTCTGAGAGAAAAATACAGGCCATAAACACAGGAGGAAAAATACTTCGAGAGGTCTTAGAAAGTTCTCATCAGTATAGGAAGCTCAGATGTTCAGTGAAGGGCCCTGGTACCCTATCTTGCCCTGTACCTCACATTATCATCTGTAGACTATGCCATGTGTAATCCAAAATTGTATCCAAAATAGCTGTTAGCTCTAAAGTATGCATAATAGAATAATTTGGCATGAAGCTCTTTGGTATATTTTTAATTAAATTTAATTATCTTGTAAACTAGAACTCGGATTATTAGTGAATTGTAATTGTCACAGAAATAAGTCCAAGTGTTTGTGTAATTGTTGATAGGTGAGTTTATTTCTGAAACAAGTTGGCAAATGGGAGGTAATTTAGAAATGAAAATTTAAAAGCAACTGAATAATTGCTATATGGGACTTGTTCCCATTCTTTCAAAGGAAGTTTTTGTAAATTGTGACAAGTACGTTTGAAGCTTCCTGCCCCCCCACACCACCCCCCCAAAATAAAAGCAAAAAAGGTAGCATCTAAAAGAAAACTTTCTGCTGCTTCTAGTTTTGTCCCCTTTTCATCCCCCAGGTCATGTGAAACATGCAAACACTGAAGAGGGTTTAGTGAAGGGCCACCAAGGTGATTAGAGTCTTGGGGAACGTGACCTGTGTAGAAATATTGATGGAGCTGGGTTTGTTAAACCTGAGGAGGGGAATCTGATCACAGTCTGCCTGAAAGGTAGCGGTAGAGAAGCTGTAGGTAGCTGTTTTCATGAGGGTACACAGGAACAGGGCAAAGGGCAACAGACTTGGGTTACTTCAGGGGGAATTCTGTCTCAATAGAACAATTCTTCACCATGAGAACAGTAAAACACTGGAATAAGTTGCCCAGAGGAGGGGAAATGGACTAGGCAGCTTGTGGTACTGCTAGTGATTTGTGGAGAATAATAGTCTTAGCTCCTCTAATCTGATCCATTCCTTGGAGAGAAGCAATGGTACTGTATTAATGGACTCAAGTTGAGGCAAGGGAGATTTAGCTTAGATATTAGGTAAATTTTTTTACTGAGAGGGTTGTCAAACATTGGAATGGGCTGCCCAGGGAGGTGGTTGAGTCACCATCCCTGGAGATATTAAAAAAGCGAGTGGACGGGATACTTCAGGACATGGTTTAGTGGGCATGGTTAATAGTTGGACTCGATGATCTTGAAGGTCTTTTCCAACCTAAATGATTCTATGATCCTATTAAGAAGGAAATGGGAAGGGAGGGCAATTCAGGAGAACGCGGTGCCTGAGCTTTTTCAGAGGAGGGATGTTGACAGATGGTTGGAGCGGAGGGGGAAGTACTGTGTAAATTTGAACGTAAGTATTGAGAAAGTTAGCTGAAAAGCTGAAGAAACCTGGGACAGAAAAGGGGTAAGTAAGGAGTGAAAAGGCAGTAGTATATGGGTTTGACATACACTTGGTATACTAAACAGTTTAAGTATCAAGTGTATTCATCATGCGTGATAAGGTTTGGATGGTGGGAGGACTGACAATGCAGGAGGTATTATACACCTCTAGGTGCTGAAGGTAGTGTAGTGTGGATAGTCTTGGATAATCTTGTCTGGTAGTGTGAATAGCCCTGGGTTACTGAAGCAAGAGAACTCTGAAAGCAATGGAGGAAGAAGGGTACATCAGGACATTCTTGAATGTTTTGTAGTTTAAATCCCCTGAAGAGGCTGGTGCCTCAAGACTGTTGTCTTAAATACTTGAGAGAAGAAGAGAAAGAAAAAAAAAAAAGTGAATTGTTTGGAGCATGTGTTACCACAGTTACTTGGTCATAAAATGGGCCATATAAACTCAGAGAGATAAAAGTCAATAACCTTTCTCCAAGTTGACCAAATTTTTTTGTTATTTTTCATTCTTTCAGGGAAGTGGGTTGTCTAAGTAGATGGATATTTCATTTGCCTTGGTAATCCATCAAAACAACATTGTGGTTGCTTTTCTTTTTCAGTATCATCATTTTCTCCAGAGAGGAAAGTTAGTTCTGTCCTTAGATTGTTCTGGATCACTCCATTAGCTGACTACTGCAATTGTCAACAAAATTTCTGTCTTAAGATGTTTTCTTCACTTTAGTCTATAAATGAAATTGAGGGCATCTCTGAAGTGTGACTGTCTTGTTTGATGTCTCTGTCAGATTACATTTTGCAGTATGATCTGGAAATTGTCAGAAAACCTGAATGTGTGCTTTAGTATGATATTAGTTTGTTTAGACCAATTATTACTGCTGCCAATACCTGTTTTTATATAGTGCTTAGATATCTGTAGAAGACAACCACTTTATAGAGAAGGGTTAATACCCTTATCCCTGGTTTAAGATGGGGAGCACCACTGAAGAAAAGGAAAGTTCCTTGCCCATAGTCACTCACAGAGTCAGTGGCAGAGCTAGGCTTAGAATCTGCATCTTCTTTAAGCAATTATTCAGTGATGGGTTCTTAAAAGTAGTGTGGTATTAGGAGGGGAGACTGTTTTGAATTAAATAAGACTAGTATTTTCTTTCTCATAAGAACATTGCATAACATATGAAAAATTTCGTCCCGATATGTGGAATTGTCTCTATCCAGATTTTTGTTATCCCTACTAAAGAAAATAGATTGCTTTCTGCCATTGTCTGTTTAGCCAGCTGTAAGCCCTATTGGACAGATTGCATGGTATGCTGATTAATGATATAGGCTGTGGGTGATTAGCCAACTGTGTAATGAGGTCCATAGCTTCCAGTGTATTACAGAAATGCCATTGATCAATACAACCACATAGTCTGTAGTATCTTCTGCAAAGTGAATTTAGACTAGTGGGGAAAAGTGGTATAGCCCCTGAATAGTTGCTGCAGAGCTACACAGCTGTGCTTGTTTTTAGAGGAGGATTAAATTTAATCTAAGGATTTGAAGGTTTGGTGGTTTGGGTTTTTTTTACTTTCGTATATTTCTTACTGTGATTATGGGCATCTCCCTACCCCCATTTTTCTTGCAGAATAAATCCAAAAGACTTAATATGCATGTGATAAATTTGGGAGATTGTATTTCTACATGTGCTTAAAGTGTTTCTTTTATATCCCACCATCCAAGGGCAGGAGGCAGAATAGCTTGATGAATTCTGACAAACAGCATGCTGTTTTATAAAATGTTACTAGATCAAGCTGTCAGATGTCAGAGACTGTATATGCTACTTTTGTAGCTGAATATACATTTTATTTATATATAATCAGCACTGGTTAAATAATTTCCTTTTTTAGAGAATGCTGAAAATACATAATATGTTTATGACTTTCATTTCACATTTTTAATGCAGTAATTCTGCTATAGGAATGGGTTTTTTCATACTGTGTCCTGAACAATCACCAGCATCGCTGCTTCGAGGCTATATAAATTCAGATTGTAGAGCAGAGTTGGTTCCTAATTTTTTTTTCTTATGAGTTTTTTCTACAGCAATGACATGAGGTAATTCATTTACTTATTATTACTATTCTATTAAAATTTCTGTAAATATCTCTTTCTAATTTATAGGTAGTAGCTCAATTCCAAATTTCTTTCACATCATGAAGCGGCAGTTTACTGAAACAGAGTGGGATGTAATCAAGTCTATGAGTAATGAATGGATGCAGCTGGATATGTTTCATCGGCACTGGGTAGTACCTTTTTTCCTATTTAAAGACTGCAGTGCTATAAACTGCACGTTCTCTTTTGATATATTTTGTTATTATTTTCATTATGGTAAAACTGTATACTTTTTATAGTTACATGTTCATGTGGAGATAATATTTTAATTGGTTTTATATTTTAGTGATTTTTTTTAACATCAGAATAATTTTGAGAACCATAGTACAGCTCACATTTCTAGAAGGATTTATGATTAGTTTTAAACACATAACCCAAACAAGGTGCCACCTGGTAATTCCAGTTGCATGTTCATTATAATGCAGCAAGTTAGGCTAGGTATTTAACAATGCTGATTAACTTTTTCTCTTGATAATTGCATCAGTCTACCCTCACATTTACAATAGTATAAGTCTTAAATTTATTTGGTCTACAGTGTCTGCTTAGAAGTAATGTTTATAGAACAGTTTGAAAACAGCCAGTATTAATAAAATGCATTTATTCTGTGTTTCAGGCCTTAAAGGAAAGCTTCTTAAAGGCTATTGGAGTCGGAATTGGCTTTAACTTGCAAAGAATTGAATTTAATGTGTCCCCATTGCAACTGGAAATAGGGAAGGTGTATAAGGAGACAAAAATGCTTCTGGATGGAGATAAAGAAGAAGAGTGGACATTTGAGGTAAGAACTATTCAAATTCATTTTTTCAATAATAGTATATGGGTATACTATGGGATAAACAGTCTCAACACTATGGTTGCATTGCACATGTGATTTTTTTTAATTGCAGCTTCACACCTTTATTCTGTATAACCACATTGAACATACATCAGTCAAAACTTAGGATATAAATCCACGGCATTTTAAAGTACTTTTGATGATTGCAAAAACACCCCATAGATTTATTCATTATAATGTTTTTTAATTTTTTCTGTTCCTAGGGTATATTTCTTGCACTCTATGAAATTCATCCTAGGGTGTGCAGGAAGTTCACTTGAAGCATTTTCAGACCTGACTTCTGAACAGTGTCTAAGATTTTAAAGTTCTTCATCAGTTGGTCTAGAATGGGACTAGCAATTAACTAACCCCATTAGTTAGTGTTTATGTTAAATATTTGAAATGGAGGAGGTGTCTTCAGCTCCTTTGGGTTTCTTACTTCTTGTCCATAAAAGCTGGTAGAAACGTGCTTTTGTGGGTTTGAAGTTACAGTGTGCTAATTGGCTGCTGTCTGTGGGAATGGAGAGATGCAAAAAACTTGCCTTTGCTTGACTGGAACGTTAGTTTAGGCTTAATCTTCTGGGTGTTGAGTGTGGGGGTTTTGTTTGTTTTTCCTTCTTGAAAGTTATTGAGACTTATCACTAACATATCTATCTTGTTAGATTTGGTAGGAAATGATCAAAAGCATCTAATGGAGTTTGAAGGGTGTATAGAGAAAGAACTGATGAGGACATGGTTTAGTGGTGGACTTGGTAGTGTTAGGTTAATGATTGGACTTCATGATCTGAAGACTCTTTTCCAACCTAAATGATTCTATGATTCTATGCAATGATCTCAAATTATTTAATTACCCAGAGAAACCAAGCTTTAAAAAAAAAAAAAAAAAAAAAAAATCACAATACTATTTCTCTGCACCCCAGAGGCATTTTCATTCAACCACTTAAAACAAAGGAGAAATGCAAAGACATTGACTTTAAAATTGTCTGTAAAGGACACCTTGTTCCAGTCTGCCGCAAATTTGTGCAGCTGGTGTATAGCTGACTAGCAATTCAAAGAATACATACTTTGCAATTTCACAAAACAGTCAACTGCACTTTTCAGTAAGAGTATTCAGTTTCCAATATGCATTTACATTTTGAAAATATGTACATTGCTGGAGACAACTGTTCCAGTAGATCTTCTCTAAATGACAAATTTCTGCTGTATGCTCATTTTGTGTAGTGTACAAACTACATGTATGGTACACACGTAGTAAAAAAGAATTAATGGACTAGTAAGATTTAACTTGTAGCATAAGTTGACCTCTTCACAGTTTATTCCTATCAGCATTTCTAGCCACATTTGGTTTTAGTGTTATTTTAAAAGTCTACCCATACTAAATCAGCCCTCTTACTGGTATTGCCATACTCTCTAGGGACTGAGTATGTAATGAAGTTCACTAGCTGGAGTTATAGACTGGCAAAAGAAAGTCTTGGGAAAGACTATGATGCATCTGGTAATAGAATGCTTTCTGTATTAATACTAACAGTGTACCACTGTCAAGGAAGCATCTACCTCTTCCGATTGACTTCTGGAACTCCTATTTTTGGTATTTGATATGCCTGTGGTTGGTTGAATAAAACAGCCTGAAGATGATGATGTAGACAGCTCCCTGTATTACTTAAATGCTTTATAATTATTTGATTTTTTCCTTATTACTTAGTAATTACTGCTAGAAGTTCAATTTAATTTTTGTCTGAGGAACGTGTCCCCTTCCATGCTTGCCCTCCTGCTTCCCAAGAGCACAGCCTTATAACAATGCAGACTGTAGTACTTTAAAGAAAGGATTTGTTATCAAGTTTCATTTAAATACAAGCTCAATTGGGATATAATTTCATTTAAATATCAACATTTATCAAAATGAAATTGGAAAAAAACAACTAGTTTTTCATTTACCAATCCCCAGCGTAAAATTAAGCATCTCTTTCCTTTTTTGTCTTCTCCCAAGTTTCTTTTAATTTTGTGCCCATTTTCGTACTTACAAAAGTCTTTTTTCCTTTCCTTATTTGCCCTTGAGCCAAACTCTTGAAACGACCTGTTAACTGAAAACACTAATTTTGAGAAATCTGGAAGAGTCACCCCAGAGGGGTCATTAAGAATCACCTGTAAGACTGCATATTACTGGTATAGTATTTTCCTAGTGTTTCCTGCTGTGCTGAGTTTGCTTGAGTGAACATTTTCTATCAAATAAAAAAAATACAATAACCTCACTTCTATTTTTCAGATCTGCCTATATCTTTGTGATAGGAGATGATCAAAGAGAGCAAGGCTGTTTAAAACCCAATTATCACATATTTTGGATTGTCTTGTTTAAAAGAGAATCTAACTTACCAAAAACAGAAAAGAGAAATAAAGGGGATTTTACCCATTTAAAATATTCTGAAATGTCCTTCAGAAAGTATCATGTAATGTGAAAAAAAGCAACTTAAAAGCATAAAGACTAGAAAAAGATCTACCATCTTATTACACTTGTCGTGACAAAAAGGTCAAGTGAAGTACTAGTGAATCAGAGCAACTCAAAGCTGGCACTGTTCAGATACCCTGTAACTGTTCACAAGAGCAAAGTCCATTCATATTGGAGATATATTTTCTGTGAACATTAAAAAAAAAAATTCTGTTATTTTGTTGTAAATACCAAATGAACTACCTTGTTGTGTAGTTGCTGTCCCTTTACCAAGGGTTTAGTTGGGGGGTTTTTTTTGGTTTGGTTTTTTTCCTCAAAGTGTCTTTCCCCTCCTCTGCTCCTCAGACATTTTTGAGGTTAGACAGAAGGCAGTAGCTCAGAAACAGCCTGTTTGATTTTGATGGAACGGTTTAGCTTTAGGCACTTGTTTTCATACAGTACTCTAGAGGTTGCTACTCAGATTCCCTCCAACTATTTTGGAAGGAGTAGGAGAAAAAATACAGTAAAACTTCATTTAAAACCATAACTTTAATTTTAAGGTATGTCTGCTATGTGTGTTAAGTATGCTTTATTCACATAGGCAGTGCACACTTCACTCATTTTAAAAAGGTAAATTTGTTTAGTAATAATTAAAAGTTTACAAGCCCAGTGAAAAGTGATACAGTATTTGTGTCAGGGTGTTAATTTAGGATGGAGTCATTATTCTGATGATTATTATGAGTAATTCTATATGCTCCATTTACTTCCTTTGAAGAAAATAAACTTACAGAATGAAGTACTAATTAATTTTAATAAAGTGAAAGAAGTTGATTGATAACAATTATGGCAAGTTTTATAATTTAAAGAGGTAAGAATAAGTTTATAATATATACATATAATCTCTGTAGCAGATCTGATAGGTGGAAAAAAAATCCTAATTACTGATTTGCAAAATGGGAAGTGTATTCGTGATTCTTTCCTTATTGGTCCCAGTTTTGTACAGTTAGTCAGGAAGAATGACTAGATAGCACTTATTGGCATCTATATTGAAGAAAAATCTTACATGAGATATAAGACACTTCTGTTTTGGTCCCTACCTCAATTTTATAAACTGGTTGTATCCAAAGGAAGCACCCAATTTATCCTAAACCTTATTCAGCGATTAAGAATCATCTGGCATCACTGCTGCTACACAAATAATTGTTTGCCTTTTTTCACAACAAATATTTGCTTGTTTTCTCTATAAGCAAGCACATTACTTCCAGAATATGAATTTCAAACTGAGATTACCTGAGTCAATTTGAAATACATTTAGTAATTGGTGTTGATGTGCAGCTGTAATGGAGTCTTTCATCCTCAGTAAAAGAAGTTAATCCTTTTTGTATTGTCAGGAATAAATAGGAATGAAAACTTCTAAGACTAGCTAATCCAACTGGATTCATACAGGAATCGGTTCTGCTGGCTGGGAAGGTACAGTTTCCTCATAACCTGTCTGTTGTTGAGGGAATCCAGAATGATTTGAATCCCAAACACATCATTTTGCTGAGACTTTAAAATGAGTTCATTGTAAGTTTCAGTGTGCCTGTAGCTTGAACAGCTCTAGTAACACTTTTGTTTTTCTCTGCGCAGAACCAATTTTGATCCATTATATGTTTTCTGGTTTATAGAGAAGAATCTTAACAAAACAAAGGCAAAGGAATTCCTCCTTTACCTCAGAGGAAATCCTGTACAGTTGTCCTCTTTCTCTTTTTGTTTAATCATCTATTTCAAAAGTTGGATTTATTTAATAAGCCGGTATAGCAGTATCTCCAGATGAATAGGGGAGCAAGCTGATTTGCTGTTTTTTATGGTTTCTGTATGTTTCATTAACTCCATACCTTAAAGTTTTTGCTGGCCACTAGTAGGATCTCCTTCCCTTCTGCATTTGTTTTGGATTTACATTTCTCTGAAGCAGCAAAGATAAGATGAAGGGCATAGTTTGTTATGTTTTATTGTAAGATGCTGAAACCTCTTTTGTGGTCACAGAGGATATGTGAAGTAAACGAGTTGGAACCTTCTGAATTCGTTATCCATTGGGCAGGGTCTCTGGAGGGGAATGGTCCCTATTATCTAAAGAGTAAATGCAGCTTTGAGCTGACAAAAAATTATTTAATTAACAATATGTAAAAGATTTTATCTATAATATGTTTATGGTTGCACAAACAAGAAGTAATGCATAAATTCACTTCACGAAAAGAAATTTCTGTGCATTTAGCTTAAAGCTGTAACACAGTTGTTGGCAGACTTCTGACTACAGATATAGGCCACTGCTGAATGGCCTGTGCTCTGTCCCCTGTTCTCATCAGTCTTTAACCTCTTGAACGTGCAAAGAATGAAGAAGGGGGAAATGAAGTGATGAAAAACTGGATGTAGTCATTTTTCTCTCTAGACAAATACAAAACACTGCCACCCTAGAACTATATAAATTGTTTAGCAAGACTTGATCAAACATCTAATTTTCATAGTCTTTTTTATTTTTGAGGAAGTTATAGAAATGTGTGTCATGTGTACAAATGGTTAGATTTCGTCAAACTTGAGGTAGCATTCTTTATGCTTGACTTATTTTCAATCTTGTACACTAGTAATGGAATGCAAAACCTAGTAAAATACTTTGTAGTACTTATACCTATAGCTCTTGCAGTCGTGGGAAATATGCCTTACACTGCAGATTTGTTAGTGCTTCTCAAGTGCATGAAATATTTCTCCTAATCTAGACAGAATTTAAATAGTCATTTTCTTACTGGTGCTTTGCAGAAAGGTAAAACAACGAGAGCTTGATGTTTTGTTTTTAAGTAGGTGAGAGTGACGAACTTCACTGCTGAATCTGTCAAATAAGGACAGTTTTGGTGCTGAAGAGATCAAAGTAAAAACAGTTCTACTCCCAGACCAGCCCCTATCTGCCAAGACACCCACATCTTTGCCAGTAGAGTCCCCCAGTCTTATAGTTGTACTGCTGCTACACATGGCTAGAGCAGCTGCTGTCTTGGCTGAGCTGGATTGAGTAGATCTGAGCTGAGCATCTTGGACTCTTTTTTTTTTTTTTTTTTTTAAAATAAAAGGCTGTTTGGGAATCACAAAAATGGTATCCTTGTAACCGAAATCTTTGAAAATCCTATCTAGTAGATGAACTGTAGAGAAGCCTAATGCAGACTGACAGCATTGTTTTAAAAGACATTTTGCTTAGATTAAAAGGAAAATAAAGAAGCAACCAACAACCTGTCAGAGGAAATAGGATATCATGATGCTTTCTTTATACTATAATATAGTGCAGTTAGAGTATTTCCCAAGGAAGTGGAAATTGGAGGTTCAATCATACCTCCCAGGAGAATATCCAGACTACTAGGTGATTTTCAGATTAATGGTGATACATAAATTGTTCATTTTTCTAGGTAAAATTCTTGTTATTCTTGATTTCCATTTCAGAAAGTTTGGGAAATAATGTGAAAATTTGGGAGTAAAGAAACAAGGAAAACATTATTTCTCCCCCCCTATATATATTAAAAAAAAAAAAGCCAACAGGATTACGATTTGACTACCAAATAAACATTTTTCAGAAACCGTATATAAGGTGTTTTTTTCCGAAATGAATTGTTTAGGATGAATTCTTAGTCTTTCTAGGGGAAAACAGTTTTAAACAAAACTATTAAGTAGATAAACAATATTACTAAATGTATATTTATATATCTAAAAGTGTTTTTGGAGGAAGATTGGTTCATATTTACACAGAGCAATGCTCAGACTGCTATGTCAGAAATTTGAAGTTGTGATCTTACATGCTGTCTGAAGCCAAGAGTGAGAGAATCACTGGTTTAAGTTTACACTTATATCATTGTTTTTCAGAATACCTCCCAGAAGTTCACAGTTGATCTCATTGGAAAACAGATAGCTAAGATTGGTTACATGGCTTATGACTTAGAAGGGACTGGTAAAGGAATGCTAAGGTCACAAACTTGAATATAAATATCTAGAAATGGGTGAGATGATGGTGACCTATAGTAACCAGTTCAGCCCTGCTAACTTTTTAATGTATCTGCATCCTTGAGCTCTCCAACAAAACTGCTAAAAAGGACTGTTGCTTTTTGAATGTCATTGTTTTAAAGTATTTTAAATGATGTTCTGCTATTGTTCTAAACCATGTTCTAAGCATTTATATAGTCTTTGCTGGAAACAGTAAAGAAAATGCATTTACATTGCCATTTTTCATCTTTACTAGGAAACTCGGTTAGATGACAATCATCATGTTGCAGTGGCTCTCGGCAAACAGGAGGGATTTGGACAGAAGCATTCTGATGTAAGAAATTATGAAACGTTTTCAGGTCTTGGTAACTAATCACTTGAACATAAACTTGGTCTGATGCTGTAGCTAAAAGTGTGTTATCTCAGATGTAGGGCCAAGAAGAAAGATTATCTTAACCACAGTATTAACCAGATTGTTACTGAACTGTTACCTCTAGTTCTGTTGTGACTATTTCAGGAAAGGTCTGGGAAGGAAAAATGGTTTCAGAGGACAGCAACAGACAATGTCAAATTTGGAATGTATGTGTTACAGTGTTCAGTGTGTTCATTCAGGAGAAGATTAAGTGATTTTTGTCACAGCCTGCTAGTACTCGTGGGAAAGATGGTTTTCACAGAGGGAAATGGAGACAGTTGAACCAATCTGGACTGTTAAACTAGTATGGCATCTCACCAAGTTGATTTTAATCAGGAACTGTCAGTGCATGTATCCCAGAGCAGATCCATCTCTCAAACACCATTATGACAAGATAACCCTTGAGACACAAGCAACAACAACCAACAGATGGGAAGAACAGCAGTGTTAGTCTTCATTCCATGTGGTGTCTATATTGAGAGAAGCAACAAAGCTACTTAAAAGCTTTTCAGGTTTTTCTGTGTAATTTAACAAAGACTTGGGTCATGCAAATAGCAATAAAAGTCAAATTTCAGGCAGACTGGCAAGTTGTAGCTGAAATAGCCAGACAGTCAGCAAAGGAAAGTGTGACAAATTGCCAGGTTTGTCTGTGGTGGTGTAGTTGCTCACAAGAAAATGGGTTAGTTGTTTTCTGTTATTTAGATATAAAGATTCTGCCAGGAACTGGAAAAAAAATAATTAGTATATGAATGGATAAAACGATGAAAGTGGTCATGCACACATCTATCACGGTCATAAAGTCTGAGTCTGTGTTCATGGATAATGCAGAGAGGCAGACCTTTTGACTAGTATTGGTTAAATTAAAAAAAGAGGTTTAAACCACCTTTGAGGATTTACTGTGTTAAATCAGTGCTCAAATACTCTTTAAGAAAATATGTGCATTCTGTTTGATAGGTTGTACTTAAGTTCCCAGTGGGGCTACATATCATCCTTCCTACAGGAGTACTGATAAATGTCAGTCTGAAGTGAAAAGAAGGTTGCTATTATTTTTAAAGACAATTACCTAAGTATTCTACAAAAGTCCAGGATTTTTAAGTATTGACCTTCACCATCACTGTCACACACCTTAAAATTATCATAGAAAGAATAGGCATGGTATCAAGAGTTACAATGAAAAGTCTTTGAATCAAGAGAAGTCTCAAAGGCATACTTGTCCACTGATTAAATTTGTGATGACCTAAATTTCATTAGCTCAATTCACTGAAAAAAGGTCATTTTAAATAGGACAAGTGAGCATTCTGTGACTCCCTGTCCTGGTTTCAGCTGGGATAGAGTTAATTGTCTTCCTAGTAGCTGGTACCGTGCTATGTTTTGAGTTAGGTATGAGAAGAATGTTGGTAACACTGATGTTTTCAGTTGTTGCTAAGTAGTGTTTAGTCTAAAGTCAAGGATTTTTCAGCTTCTCATGCCCAGCCAGCGGGAAAGCTGGAGGGGCACAAGAAGTTGGCACAGGACACAGCCAGGGCAGCTGACCCAAAGTGGCCAACGGTGTATTCCATACCATGTGACGTCCCATCTAGTATAGAAACTGGAGGGACTGGGGGTGGAGGGATCGCCGCTCGGGGACTAGCTGGGTGTTGGTCAGCGGGTGGTGAGCAATTGCACTGCACATCATTTGTACATTCCAATCCTTTTATTATTGCTGTTGTCATTTTATCAGTGTTATCATTATCATTATTAGTTTCTTCTTTTCTGTTCTATTAAACCGTTCGTATCTCAACCCATGAGTTTTACTACTTTTCCCGATTTTCTCCCCCATTCCACTGGGTAGAGGGGGCAGTGAGTGAGCAGCTCGTTGGTGCTTAGTTGCTGGCTGGGGTTAAATCACGACACTCCCCAATATGGAAATGAAGTGAAAATTTCTGTACTATTGCATTGTGCCTTTTCAGGACTCCTTCTAACAGGAATGTGGAGGAAATGAAAGTGGCCTTCTCTCTAACAGAACTGTAAAAAAGGATTCTATGTATTGCTAGATGCGTTGAGAGGAAAAGGTGTTCTTCATCTTAATTTAAGAAAATTAAGTGTGTAGACATTATGCAATTGCTTCAGGATGTCAGTGCTTGTTTCTGTTCCCTCTCCGCTATCACAGGAGTAATTCATTATGTCCTGTTTGCAGAACATGTACTTTCAGTTAACTTTCTTCCCAACCTGATAGCAAGTACCTACAAGTCACAGGAAAGACCAATTGTTACTTTGAAGTACTGTAATTTAAATTCTCTAGAGTCAAAACTCTTAACAAAATGTCTGCTAGTGATTGCTATATGCTTGAAGAGACAGAACATTTATCTGCACCGTTACCTAGATCTAGACAGTTATCTGAGGCAGATTTCAATGAAAGATGGCTGAGTTTATAATTCTTTATAATTCCTATGTGGGCTATAAAATATCTTTTCATCTATCACTTGCTAAATTTCACAGGACTTGTGATGAATTCAGTCAGAGCACACCTGTCTTCAGACAAGCATGTGCTGAAGTTCAAATGAGATCTGTTAACAGTCTTCTTAGCTCTGAGGCTTAGTTCATACTTAGTATGCATCTGTGATGTCACTCGCATGGCTCTAGGCACAGTTCCTGCAGCTTTACCTCATCTCCAAAATGCCAGATGAACAGGAATGTCTCAATACCATGTCCCTTGTGCAAGGATATAAAGTGACAGGCAGCTTAATTAACTTTTGCTTTCAGTCTGCATTGGGCAACTTTGAGTTTTGCTGTGCTGTTACAACAAACACGAATCATTTTGTTGTCTCTCCATTTATTCCTAACAGTAGCTTACTGCTCAAATGCTGAAGCAGAGAATAGATATTTTTTCTCTTTTACCTATTTACTAACCTACCTTCATTGATGTGACAGGAAGGGATAACAGAATCTACAAAAAGGGCCTCAGATGGGGCCACCTCCAGCGCTTGCGTGTAAGCAAGCAAGTACCTACAAGGCACCATTATGGACAAATACCCCAAACCCTCTCCAGGAACTCAGCATGCTGGGGTGCCTCTCTAAAGTGCCTATACACTGGTGCACACAGTATGGGGAATAAACATGATGAGTTAAGAGATCTGTGTGCAGTTGCAGGGCTACAGTCTTGTTGGCATCATGGAGATGTGTTGGGATGGCTCCCATGGCTGGAGTGTTGCGATTAAGGGGTACAGAAAAGATAGGCAGGGAAGATGCAGAGGGTGAGTTGCCACTTACGTGAGAAAGCAGCTGGAGTGCATGGAGCTCTTCCTGGGGATGGATGAGGAGCCAGCTAAGAGTTTATGGGTTAGGTTTAAAGAGAGGACAGGTCAAGGTGACTTTATAGTGAGTGTCTGCTGTATGCCACCTGACCAGAAAGAACAAGTGGATGAAGTCTTCTACAGACAGATAGGAGCAGCCTCATGTTCACAGGCCCTGGTCATCATGGGGGACTTCAAGCACCCCAGTATCTGCTGGTGCGACAACACAGCAGGACATAAGCAATCCAGGAAGTTCCTGGAGTCCATTGATGACAACTTCCTTCTCCAGATGATAGAGGAGCCAATGAGGAAAGGCATTGTGCTGGACCTCCTACTCACCAACAAGGAGGGGCTTGTTGGGGATGTGAAGGTCAAAGGCAGCCTTGGCTGCAGTGAGCATGAGATTGTGGAGTTCAGGATCCTTGGGGCAGGGAGGAGACCTCACAACCCTGGACTTGGGGAGACCAGACTTTGGCCTCCTGAAAGATTTTCTAGGAAGAGTCCTGTGGGATAAGGTGCTGGAGCATGTCCAAAGGTGAGCAAGAAAGCTACAGCACAAGTCTTATGAGGAGCGGCTGAGGGAACTGGGGTTGTTTAGTCTGGAGAAAAGGGGGCTGAGAGGAGACCTTATTGCTCTCTACAACTGCCTGAAAGGAGGTTGTAGCGAGGTGGGGGTCAGTCTCTTCTCCCAAGTAACAAGTGGTAAGATGAGAGGAAATGGCCTCAAGTTGTGCCAGGGAAGGTTTAGATTGGATATTAGAAAAAATTTCTTCACCGAAAGGGCTATCACGCATTGGAACAGGCTGCCTAGAGAATTGGTGGAGTCACCATCCCTGGAGGTATTGAAAAGACGTGTAGATGTGGCACTTAGGGACATGGTTTAGTGGTGCACTTGGCAGTGTTAGGTTAATGATTGGACTCGATGATCTTAAAGGTCCTTTCCAACCTAAATGATTCTATGGTAAAGCCTCAGAGGGAAGCAGGGCCCAAGAAAGCTGCTTAATATTCAAGGATCACCTCCTCCAAGCTCAAAAGAGTTCCATCCCAATGAATATGAAGTCGGGAAAAAATGCCAGGAGGCCTGTGTGGATAGACAAAGAGCTTCTAGCCAAACTCAAACACAAAAAGGCAGCATACAGAGGATGGGTAACCTGTGTGGAATACAGAAACATTGTCTGAGCATCCAGGGACAAAGTTAGGAAAGCTAAAGCCCAGATGGAATTGAATCTGACCAGGGATGTCCAAGGCAACAAGAAGAGCATCTATAAGTGCATAGGAAACAAAGGGAAAATGTGAACCCTTTGCTCGATGAGACAGAGGCCCTGAGTACCAGGACGTGGAAAAGGCTGAGGTGCTGAGTGCTACCTTTGCTTCAGTCTTTATTAGCAGGACTGGCCTTCAGGAATCCCAGGTCCCAGAGACCAGAGGGGAAGGAGCAAGGAAGTTGTATGTACCCCTGTTGGAAGAGGAACAGGTCAGGGAATACTTAAGTAAACTGGACGTACATAAGTCCTTGAGCCCTTATGGGATGCAGCCACAGTGCTGAGGGAGCTGGCAGATGCCATTGTGAGGCCACTCTCAATAATCTTTGGTTGATCATGGTGACTGGGAGAAGTGCCTGGAGACTGGAGGAAAGCAAATGTCACTATC